TTGATTTATTTCAACTCTAGCAAAGACAACTGTTCTACCAACATAAACCCACGTCATTTACTATTAATTTTGTGGTTGGCACGCTAAGGTACGCAAAAACCAAACCCAAACTCTCGTAGCCTAGCCCGTAGCTAGGCTACGGGCTAGGCTACTAGCCCGTATATGTACTAATCTGGCCTACCATTACGTAAATTAGACCTAGGATAACATATTTAGGCCTAGGAGAGGTTAGATTAGTTAGTAATGGTTACTATTCCACTTTTAACATGTCATTTCAAGCATTAAAAAAGACTACATAAAGTGAATTTTGGGGGGATAAAAGATGCCACTTTGGGCATTCAATGAATAGTTGCTACAAGCACTGTTATTTTTGGAGGCTGCAATGTATTTTGAGAGCAAGCAGTGTTCTGTTATAGTTACTGTCTATGAGGTCGGCGGTTCGAGGCTCCGAGTGTCCACGTGAATGAAAAGGCATACAGATATATTGTAAAAACCAATGTCAAATAACATTCACTGTAGTCTGATTACGACCTTTCGTTCTCTTTGTAATTATTTGTGTGCTATTACTCGAAAGATGCATACGAGGTGCATAATGTCCATATACATTATGCACTCATATACATATCCATATACATGGACATGTATATGAGTGGGTTTGGGTGGAAATAAATAGAAGCTGCTTCGTATGGGCCAATAGGCCTTCTGCAGTTACCTTTGTTCTTATGTTCTTATAACATACTAACCGTTGCTAGTGGCTACAATTGACATGTGACCTTAGTGTATCAACAAGGCTTACCTGGCAGCGAGCTTGTTCGCTGGTGTCAGCGTAATACCCAGGTAGCAGACCATCGCAGGAGAACTCGGTGTTGGGGACAGAGAAGAGGATGGGATAGTCTTCGTCGGGGACGCCTACTCCACCGAGGGCCTCCTGAAGCTCAGCGATCGGGTCCCTACCATCGAACTCCAGAGTCTGTCGATTTCCTCCAAATCCAGCATCTCCTACACCGATGACTCTGGGCAAGAAAGTTCCACCGAGTGTGGTGCCGCTGGTCTTCAGGCCTCCACCTTCACCAGTATTGGTTTCAAAGGCACCTCTTGTGCCACTGATACCTGGAAATCCACCTGTGGTAACACCGTTGGTGTTGTAGCCACCGTTTGTAAGAGGAGTTCTACGGGCTCCTCCGTTGAAGTCAGCAACGAGAGACAACTGGTTCTGCGCTGGAACCTGGAAGTCGCTGAGGTAGTCACCGCTGACCACCCCGATCACGACTGAGAAGAAAGAACCAATGAGGAACGTTAGAAACCGGCTCCGGCTAACAGTAAGTTAAGAGTTTGACCAGACCACACACTTGAAGGTGAAGGGACGACGACGTTTCGGTCCGTCCTGGACCATTTTCAAGTCGATTGTCGTGAGAATGGTCCAGGACTGACCAACACGTCGTCGTCCCTTCACCTTCTAGTGTGTGGTCTGGTCAAGCTACTTCAGCCACGTTATTGTGACTCATCGCCTGCAGTAAGTTAAGAGCTTTTTACTTGAAACGTACGAAAGCACAAACGATATTTTAATTGCTAAGGAAAACTGTAAACAAAACTTAATACTAATTTATTTTTAGTTGACAAACAGCATTTGTTATTGGAAGGAGTGATTTGAGGACGATAATGTAAGGAGTGACTGGGCACCAAATGACTATCCCTTGCATCAGACGTGCATAGCTGTGTCCAGTGCAAGAGTTATCACAGCTGTAGATAAGAAGTCTGCAGCCTTCAAGACATTTTCCTTTAACTGTCTTAGGCAGCGGTCAAAGCAAAGTCTGAGGGGGAAATAATAGCTATTCTCTACACTTTATAGGCATAACGAATTAACAAAAACACTTCCTACCCCCAGGAACAAAATTTTTTTTACATTTTTTAATACATATATCTTTACGTTAATTATAAATATATATTTTTTAAAATCTTAGAACTTCATCGAGTGAGCAGTTTCTAGACCCACAAGGGTATGAAGTTGTTAACGACATGCTACGAGAGTTGAATATTCTTACCCAGCACCAGAATCTTGCCGTCCATATCTAAGACGGGATGAACTCCTCTTGATTACGACTGTTCCAACGCCAGTGAGTGCTTCTAGGAGCTAGAAGTACCTGCTTGGTCAGAGAGGGAGAAGGCTATGGTGAACATCACACAGCAGTCCTGCCTTTTATACAGTGGAGGAATGGTCAGGGGGAGAGTCGTGGCGAGGCCCCTACAGATACACATAAGATTAACACCCTTCACTATATACACTCAGGTCACGTATTCACGCTCTCCTGGTCCATCTCAGTGACCAGGTAAGTCGTGATTTTGTAAATTATGAGATTGACTTTGCGTGTTTTAAAGTATGTAACAGTATGATCCCATTATAATTCTGGTTAACCATGTCAATTTACGAACACAAAAGAGGGATTTGTAGCGCAGTAGTGAGCATACTTGTCCCGCCTTTGGTCTGTTGGAATAATTGACGTTAGCACTACTGTTATTAATATTGTTTCTTGATGAATTTTAATATTATTATTATCATATTTTATATTATTATCATATTTTATATTATTATCATATTTTATATTATTATTATTATCATAATTATTTTTATTTATTTATTATTATTATTAGTAGTAGTGGTAGGATTCTTGCTGGCTGAATTTCCTCAACATTGCTGAGGTGAGGAACAGCGGGCACATCTTTGCTACCTCACATTTATCACCATTGCAACATCTTCACTCTCTCAGGGCCAAAGGGAAGACACCTTCACATACTCAGGGCTACCATCATTGTACAAACACTGCTTCATTCACACTACACCTTCGCTGCCCACGATCTCCGACATTGCAACATACATTATGGCTGACCCTCACGGATCCACAGAGTCCTACAGGTCCTGAGTCCTACAGGTCCTGAGTCCTCCAGGTCCTGAGTCCTACAGGTCCTGAGTCCTACAGGTCCTGAGTCCTTCCGGTCCTGAGTCCTACAGGTCCTGAGTCCTACAGGTCCTGAGTCCTACAGGTCCTGAGTCCTTCAGGTCCTGAGTCCTACAGATCCTGAGTCCTACAGGTCCTGAGTCCTACAGGTCCTGAGTCCTTCAGGTCCTGAGTCCTACAGATCCTGAGTCCTCCAGGTCCTGAGTCCTACAGGTCCTGAGTCCTCCAGGTCCTGACATTCGTGTAAGAATTGTAACAACGTACATTGTAACTTCAAGTCGCCACACTGGGACTCCCCCAGAACGAGTAGGGTCTAAAATCTGAGAAACGATCCTCTTTCAACATATCTCATATAACCTAATCCAGTCTTACCTCACTAATCTCAACCTGACCTAATCTGACCTTGCCTAATCGAATCTAACTTAACGAAAATAAGAGAAAAAAGGATGTGTTTCACGTATGGTGTGAACGAGGTGTATAATGTCGGTACAGGTTTTAGACCCCTACCGGTGGTGTTGAGAGATGGTTGTGAGAAGTGGGTGTTGATTAGAAAAAGCGATAGAGAGAACATATTAATAGAGTTCTCTGGCACTGCAGGCACTAAACGTCTCTAAAGAGCACTGATGCTGTGCTTGGGGGCTCTAAAATTCTCCCAGAGCCTCTGGTCATTAAAATAAGTTTTCAGTTTAGAAAAAGAAAGATAACTGTCTCATGGAACGTTGTTACAATCGCTCTGAAGATAGTTCCTATTATGAATCTAAACAATCATCACTAAAGGCAGGGACCATGAGCTGGAACACCATATAACCCATGACCTTCATGCAGCAGGTTAAAGGGCAAGCCCTATAACATTTCCTTCAACTATATATTGGTACTGGGCTTTAAGGCCATCAACTGTCATGTTATAACTGAAATCGCAATAAATCACAGTAACCAGGAGGTATACTTTATTGTGAACATAATTAAGTTCAGAAAGGAAGCAATTAGTGGGTAACAAGGCTGATAAAGGTCAATATAAAGCTCTATCAGTATTTATGTCTTTAGCAGCCTTATGAAGGACTCCTTTAAATAATTTGATTTTTTATGGGGAAGCAATATAATTTTTTTGTAATGATTATCGCCTATATGCACTTCGGCTCTCAAAAAAGATTCGCCATCCCCTATATAGGTCAACGGCGGACCTTCACCCATGACGCAACCCATAACAGTTGCCTAGGTCACTGGGACCAATTTACCTGAGACCAAGACCATTCACTGGTCTCTAACTGAGACCCAGAACACACACTGGTCTCTAACTGAGACCCAGAACTCTAGTAAAGAACGCACTTAGCTCGAAAACTATACAGCCCAGTACAGTGTTAGTCCATACTTTGTATAATTTTTAATCCATGCGGCTATAATTTTTAATCCATAAGCTTGAAGTGATCTTCTGATATACGCAACTTTCAGTGTCATTATTTGGTTTATGCTGCAGATATCAAGATAACAGGATCATTCTTTCATGGGGGAATAATAATAAAAGTTATTTATATATAAATTGATGTTTTGTATAATTTGGGTTCACACATAGTTAGACCTATGTAAGGTTAGGTACGGTGTTTTGGTTATGGTGATTTAGGGAGTGTTTAAAATTTTAGCTTAATTTGAACGAAACACGTTTCGATTCATAGCTTCGAACATGGTCAAGTAATCAATAAGTCAAATTATGATATAATTAACTGAATTGTTCGTTGTGAGTCCTCGGCTCATTGTTTTGATGATGAGCTGCGTTAATATGACTTAGTACGAAGCTATGTTTCGAAACATACTTCATTCAAGTCTAACGTGATTGTAAACACTGTAATATACAAACCCAGAATATATTATCACATATTTTTAATTGAGAAAAACAGTGTTTATTAACACTGTTTATAAAGTGTTTATAAGATAATAAGAAACAAATCTCTATCTTAGTCGGTTGACGAAGATAGTTATTTGAATTATTCCTTAGGGATTGAGAATTGCTTAGTTCTCATAATGGTACAAAAAAACAAAATTATACGCTTTACATTACAATTTTATTAACAAAGCAGAAATAAAATGAAATAAATGTTATTCTCATTTCTGTCGTATGGCACGGGAGCAAGAATATAACATTCCATTGTAAAATACTTCCTGAAGAGGGAAAATTAATGTAACATTGTAATCGTTGACAAATGACATATTAGTACAAAAAAATAGAAGAAGCTGTGAATTTCAATCAGCCACCAAACAATGAATCTAATAACAAAACTTGAGACTTCATTATATTCTAAAATATATAGTTAGTTATCAGAAACATTATTTGATGATCAATATATGTGGCGAGAACATATAGCAATCAAGATAATTTTGCTCCGTAAAATCAACGCAAGAGCTTATTTGGTAGGTAGTTGATAGAGGGCAGATGGGGGTTGGATATTCCGGTTGCCAGTGCCCCCGTTCCTGCCACCGCCACCGCTGTTGAAGCCAAGGTTTCTGTTGCCACCTCTGCCGTTGCCGTTAATGGCCGGTGCTCCGTAAGACTGTGAAGGAGCGCCAACATTCCCACTTCCGCCGACACCGCTGGAGAACTGTCCCTGTTGGTTGACAACAGCACCAAATCCTCCGCTATTACCGCTGTAGCTACTGATGCCGTTACCGTTTCCACCACTGTAGCTTGATTTTCCTATTTCTGCGTTGAGACCGTAGAACTGCTGGGCGGTGGAACAGTCGAAGTTGTACCACCAGTCACACACGAAGTACTGCTGGTTAAAGATGGTGCCGTTGGGACAGAGGAAAGAGTCCATCCTTCCACCAGCTTGGCAGATGTGGAATACCTGAGGGAGTGATGATAGCGTCTTGGTATATGTGAGATATCATTTATAGCTTTAACAAATATCATACCAGTCATTAAGAAAGCACTATATAACTAAGAGAACATTCAGAGCTTCACCTTCCTTAACTGATCGCTATATTCAGGACATATTCTATATTAATAAGACATTTATGATATTTGCGACAGTGGTTTGGCCAATCTAAGCCATGTTAACCTCTCACCAGAACAACTCACCTGACATCCGGCCTCTGGGGCCGTGTCAGCATAGTAACCGGGTAGTTGACCGTCACAGGAAAAGCCGGTATTTGGGACATAGGCCAGAATAGGGTAATCTTTGCCTGGGACACCACCTCCACCAATGGCAGCCGCAAGGTCAGCAATGGGGTCACCGGAGCCTCCACCATATCCTCCGCTGCCCCCTCCGAAGCCTCCGTTGCTTCCTCTGGAAAATCCTCCACCGCCGCCAGTGTATCCGCCATTTCCACCTCCCACACTGCCACCGAATCCTCCACTTCCTCCTCCATATTTGCCATTTCCGCCACCGCCGAAACCTCCTTGGCCTCCGCCAGCGAATCCTCCAGGACCTCCACCGTTACCACCACCAAATCCTCCGCTACGAACGGAGGAGATCTGGTTGGACACCGGAGCCGGAGGTCCATCGAGGTAGGTGGCGCTGACCACACCCAGGAGGACTGAACAGCACGGGGAGAGAGCAGCGCCGTCACACCAGATGGGGAAGAAACATCCAAATGTGAAAATTAGACCATAATTTGCTGATTAATTGTTGTTTAAAAGAACATTGTGGAAATATTCGACTGAATATGATATCGGTACAGTGGAGAATGTCCTCCGTAGTTGTCACTGACATATATTTCCGTTAACAATATGTAACAATATAATTGTAATACCTTAATTTTTTTAATGCGATACATCATTTTCCTTTAAAAGTTAACGTCATTGTTAGAATTAATCCTTGTAAATATATAATAAATAAAGATTTAAAGAAATAATGTTAAATTTAAAACGACAAAAGAGCTATAGACTTTTTGTAAATCAATTACTGTACTAACATCGTAAGTATTTTGGCCTGTATGTAGAAGCGATTGTGAGTTCTCTCTCTTCTGTCTTCTGAATCTGGCTCTAAGTGATTTGAAACAAAACTAAACAAAACCGCTCAGAGGTTGCTTCAAAGGACAAATGTTTGTCATTAACTGAATTAAGCACAAGTAAGGTATTATACAATTTATACTGGTTTAAAAAATCATGTGTTTAAAACTGTTCGTATAACAAATATTTTAAAACAGGGTTGAATATTTGCGACGTGTCACACCCGGATCTCCTAATGTGACACTATAGAATGACGATGCCATTAATAGTGGCATCTTCACTGAGGATGAAGAACAATTGTGTCCTGTGCAAGGTGTCCTGGTCATAATCTTATGAGCAGGCTGCTGTATTAGCTCTTACCCATCATCACAACATTCTGAGTCACTCCGGCCATGTTTGGAAGATCTTGCAGTACGTTTATCACTTCACTTCCAGTAAGATACGCGGCAGTAAGCGAGGCGTGTGTGTGTGTGTGTGGTGAAGGCAGCGCCGGGTGTGTGGTGGTGCCGGTGGATGGCGGCATATATATATACACAGCAGCGGCAAGGTCAGTCACCTTAGGGCTCCTAAAGGTCCTGAACCTATTCATGAAGTAATGAGCTCTTCTCCCATCCTTCGTTCATCCCTTCTTCTTGAGTCCCACCGTAAGTCTACATTAAGTGCAAGCTTTTGTTAGTGTCTCGATATAACTAATTTTATTTTTGTATATCCAGCATAAGGGTTACCATTAGATTTCATATTCATAAGAATTTGCATCATTTTAACACATTCTTAGCCGCTGGTCAGTTTTTCAATGTGTTTTTAGCAGTCCTCATGATTAATTGATGAAGATTAAGCCATCACAAGAGGTGGCACGGGCATGAATAGCCCGTAGGTGGTAAATGTTTGGTGTGGATATTATCCCTGGTCGTGTAACATCTTGAAGTGTGTCTGCTGTTGTAATTGTTGTTGTTTTAGATTTAGCCATTTAGAACTAGAATTTCCATGTTACACGGGCTATGGTGAGCCCGTAAAGTGTTCGATCATGTTTTTGTAACCCATTACAAAGATCGAATCAGGTAATCTTTTATATAGTTTCTGATGAGGTGAAACTTTTGAAGTGTAGTACTCTTGAAATAAGTGTACTCCTAATAAGTATTAAGAGCTGTACTTTCCGATGAGTGAGGAGCGCCGGAAGACATCTGAATCACCACATATTTGAACTTATGGATATTTTTTACCGTGCAGGATTACTCGTAAAGCAACTTACTTCTTCCTTAATATGCGTTCCTTGAACATCCAGTGGTCATCCCTTCACCTGCAGAGACTGGATACATTTGTCTTCTTCTGTTAGATTAGAGTTTACCATCTTGGAATCTATTCATATTTCTATTGCGAATAAAGTGATGAACAACTCCTCCGAATTATCGTTTGTTTTGTTTATTAACTTATTCGTCTTTTGCAAGCAGCTTGTTATGAGTTTTTTTTTTAATTTTGTATTAATAATATTTTAATTATTTTATTAATAAAAAAACTGTGAAATTTATTACCATCTGCTACTTTTTCTGATAATAATTTGTTTTAAATTTGAAGAACTTATGACGGAAATTATTTCCTGAACATTTGGTTGACAATAAATGAAGTTATCATTTATACAATTGAAATTTTACTGGTTAGAGCTTATTGCTTTATCTGCGGTTTGAATAATTTTGTCGCAATTGTTTACATGTAGCATTCACTGTCATGCTTAGATGGTCTTCAGCGGTGTTAATCATTACATAAATATTTTATTTTAGTTTGAGTTCTCAACACCACAAAGAAATTGTAAGATTTCTCGGTTTTCGATTGATTTGTGCGTTCCTCTTGTTCTCAGCATGACGGAGACATTTAATATATATATATATATATATATATATATATATATATATATATATATATATATATATATATATATATATATATATATATATATATAATATGTTATAATAGTATAGAATTAAAATCTTTATTGTTAAAACATATAATCAAATCACTATGTAACACAGAACATTTTGGGATTGTCCTTTCTTAAATTTACTTCAACTTCATATGTTAATAAAATGTTTATTTTCAAAGGTATAAAAGAAGTCTAAAGCTGTATGGAAGTCTTTGACTCACCACACAGGACAGATTCAGGACCAGCAATAAAGCACTGTACATAGCTTGGGGTCAGCTTAGGAGTCAAATGATCGTCTATGAGATTAAATCTCCCCCCCCCCCCACCCCCCAAAAAATGCATGAAAATCTTGTGTTGCGAAGGCATATTATAGAATTCCTTTTGAAAGTAGTGTTACAAATAATTAAAACAACATATGAGAACTATACAATAAGATACATACACAAGTAGTTATGTTTTGTTATCTTCAAGGTTTTGATAACATTTCCTGGAGCTTCATGATAATATCTGTGTCTTGTAAACAGAAATCCCCAACATACTCGACAGTAATATTTTTGTTCTCTTGAATGACAACATCTTAACATGAGAGTAGAGGAAAGGATTATCACCCTAAGTTGTCTTGGTGTTTAGGGAAGGTTTAAATCTCAGTCAGAGTAGCAGTTGCATACTTTAAAGTCATCCCTAATGCGAGTATCTTGGTCTGGTTGATAGAGCTTCATATTTTTTTACAGATCATATCCTCAATAATCCGAGATAAATTATATTTCTCACGTTATTGTAATCACTGAATTACCTGTTTTAAATGTATTAGTATGTGTCTTAACACTCACATTACTATTAATATACATTAAGAATTTGTCTACACTTCAGACGTTGTTCATGTACTTAAGATGTAGTCTGTATGTTCCTTTTCTCTTAACTCTAGTGCGTTTTGATTAGAAATAGGTTATTATTGTGTTCTTTCTTTCCTAACAAGTCTATATCCCAAGTCGTTCCAGAAGTTGTGAATATGTTTCTCAAAAACTTATGGTTCCGAACCTTCCTGACCAATGTAGTGATCATCCTATGCAAGAAGCTCTTCTGGGTAGTCCTAAGTCTACCAGAATAACTTCTGTCGGAACGTGATCTCTTAAATCTAGCAACATGACCTCCATAAGATCCTGATTGTTTTCTTGGCCTCCAGAAACCTAGTAGGATTGACCGTATCAGATGTTACTCAGGTGAAAGTGTTATCTATTATCAAATCACAAATGTAGTCTATCATCATCTGCTTGTATCCTTTCCATAGTAGCATCGTTACCCAATATTGTCATTACTGCTGCAAAGGTTTTATCTGTTGATAACTCTATGTATGGCATTCTTTAAATATTATATTTTGGTTGATATTTTTTTATTTCATATTTCTTGTTAATTCACTCAGGTGAATTCATGGTATTAATTAACCTTTCTGTCATCGCTTTGAAAATTGTATTCGTTATTTTCCAGTCATTAATTTCTTAAGTCATTTGACATGTTTTCACTCTCTTCATGAATTAAGGTTCTTAGCTCTCGACAGTATTTATAATTAAACTCTTCCTTAAGTTTCTGTGATTTATTATATATGGTATATTCGGCAATACCCGGGTCTTTCTTCCCCTTCACTTCCCTTCCCTCTGTTACCTCCTCCCACCCCGACTTCCTCCTTCTCACTCCTCTCCCTCTTCTCTTTATCTCACCCCCTCCATCTCATTTCACTTTCCTTCCCTCCCTGCACTCCACACTTCTTCCTCTCTCTCCTTCCCTTCCCTGACTGCCACTCTAACTCTTCCCCCTTTTCATCTCTCTATCAACACTCCCCCTCTATTCCTCTCTCCCTTATCTTTCCTTCCCCTTTCATCTCTCTTCCACTCTCCCCTCATTCCTCACTTCCTGTCTTCTTTCCTCTCCTCTCCCATATCTCTCTTAGAAAATGCATCAGCTGAAAAACTGTCAAAAACCATTTTGCAAAATGAAACTACAATTTGCTGAGAGTCACAACAGGAACCAATACATCTTCGAGAAACACAGAGGTCGACCCGGACCAGCCTATGACATTCCTCTTGCAATTCCAAATGATCATGCAAAGTTGCGTGAGACTTCACCAATCCCCCCCAAGTCCCCCAAGCTTTAGGTCCTCCTACCTTGGACACAGAACGACAGATAAACAAACATTAGATTTTTATGAATGTAGATATGTCTAAAATATTATCTTCTTTGCAAAATTTTTAGTCAGCGTCTTAACGTTCCTCATAAACATATTTTACAGCTGTATATTATGCAGCTGCCTTCCTCATACAATTCTTGGTGATTGTTCTGTGTGTGAATTGATCACACAGTGAGTCTACACAGTGATACGGTGAGTCTGTAGAATGCAATGTGTCTGCAAAGGCACATAAAGACTCCGTAGATATCAGCTCATCTCTACAATAACCAGTGACATTAGAAACAAACTAATCCCCACTACAAGTTCATGATGAGTTTGTAGAAAATCAGGAAATCTTCAGAACCACACTGTATATCTCTAGATAGCAGGCCATCTCTACAAGTATAGAGTTTGTTATAAGAAATCAACTAGGGTCTGTAAATTCAATGCGTTTCACTAGAAACCAGCTTGTTTCAATAAGTACGTCAAATGTCTATAGAAACCAGCGTGTTTCCGTAAAAGCACAGTATGATGTGTCGTTTGAAACTAGTTCATCCTAATGCGTACAAAGTGTGTGTATAAAAAAACAGCTAGTTTCTTTATTTCCCCAGTGAGTTTCCAGTGTTTAGGGAGCCGCCACACTGATATAATGTGTGCCTAAGGAAACCAGCGCGTAGACCATAGATAATGCAGGTAGAAGATATAACAAATATTGCTCATGTTTAAGTTTATTCGTAGTTCAAGTGTAAAATAAAATAAAAATTCTCATTTCTGTCGTATGGCACCGGAGTAAGACCGCACTTTATAACTTCCTATTAAGGCAAATAATTCAAAATTTGTTAAACTAAGAGGAGAATAATTGGCAAGTATGTACAGCTAGTATTAAGTAACATTATCATAGTCGATGAATATAAATCTTCTTGGGCAGAGAATTATGTCATCAACATCTGCAAAGGAAGTTTGTATCTGTTTTGAAATGATATATGTTATCAGACATCAAGAAGAAAATTAGGTTTTATAACGTATATAAAGAATTACTATGATAACTTATTGACGAAAATATTTGTGACGAAAGCATAAAATTATCATCATAAATCTCGAGCTCATTTGGTAGGTAGTTGATAGAGGGCAGATGGGGGTTGGATATTCCGGTTGCCAGTGCCACCGTTCCTGCCACCGCCACCGCTGTTGAAGCCAAGGTTTCTGTTGCCACCTCTGCCGTTGCCGTTAATGGCCGGTGCTCCGTAAGACTGTGAAGGAGCACCAACATTTCCGCTTCCGCCAACACCGTTAGAGAACTGTCCCTGTTGGTTGACAACAGACCCAAATCCTCCGCCATTGCCACTGTAGCCCTGTCCCTGTTGGTTGACAACAGACCCGAATCCTCCACCACTGCCACTGTAGCCACTGTTGCCGTTACCGTTTCCACCACTGTAGCTTGATTTTCCTATTTCTGCGTTGAGACCGTAGAACTGCTGGGCGGTGGAACAGTCGAAGTTGTACCACCAGTCACACACGAAGTACTGCTGGTTGAAGATGGTGCCGTTGGGACAGAGGAAAGAGTCCATCCTTCCACCAGCTTGGCAGATGTGGAATACCTGAGGGAGTGATGATAGCGTCTTGATACATGTGAGATATCATTTATAGCTTTAACAAATATCATACCAGTCATTAAGAAAGTACTATATAACTAAGAGAACATTCAGAGCTTCACCGTCCTTAACTACTCGCTATATTCAGGAAATATTCTATATTAATATGACATTTATGATATTTGCGACAGTGGTTTGGGTAATCTAAGCCATGTTAACCTCTCACCAGCACCCAGAACAACTCACCTGACATCCGGCCTCTGGGGCCGTGTCAGCATAGTAGCCGGGTAGTTGACCGTCACAGGAAAAGCCGGTATTTGGGACATAGGCCAGAATAGGGTAATCTTTGCCTGGGACACCACCTCCAGGAATGACAGCCGCTAGGTCAGCAATGAGGTCACCGGAGCCTCCACCATATCCTCTGCTGCCCCCTCCGAAGCCTCCGTTGCTTCCTCCGGAAAATCCTCCACCGCCGCCAGTGTATCCGCCATTTCCACCTCCCACACTGCCACCGAATCCTCCACTTCCTCCTCCATATTTGCCATTTCCGCCACCGCCGAAACCTCCTTGGCCTCCGCCAGCGAATTCTCCAGGACCTCCACCGTTACCACCACCAAATCCTCCGCTACGAACGGAGGAGATCTGGTTGGACACCGGAGCCGGAGGTCCATCGAGGTAGGTGGCGCTGACCACACCCAGGAGGACTGAACAGCACGGGGAGAGAGCAGCGCCGTCACACCAGATGGGGAAGAAACATCCAAATGTGAAAATTAGACCATAATTTGCTGATTAATTGTTATTTAAAAGAACATTGTGGAAATGTTCGACTGAATATGATATCGGTACAGTGGAGAATGTCCTCCGTAGTTGTCACTGACATATATTTCCGTTAACAATATGTAACAATATAATTGTAATACCTTAATTTTTTTAATGCGATACATCATTTTTCTTTAAAAGTTAACGTCATTGTTAGAATTAATCCTTGTAAATATATAATAAATAAAGATTTAAAGAAATAATGTTAAATTTAAAACGACAAAAGAGCTATAGACTTTTTGTAAATCAATTACTGTACTAAAAACGTAAGTATTTTGCCTGTATGTAAAAGCGATTGTGAGTTTTCTGTCTTCTGTCTTCTGAATCTGGCTCTAAGTGATTTGAAACAAAACTAAACAAAACCGCTCAGAGGTTGCTTCAAAGGACAAATGTTTGTCATTAACTGAATTAAGCACAAGTAAGGTAATAGACAATTTATACTGGTTTAGAAAATCATGTGTTTAAAACTGTTCGTATAACAAATATTTTATAACAGGGTTGAATATTTGCGACGTGTCACACAATTTATCTCCTAATGTGACACTATAGGATGACGATGCCAGTAATGGTGGCATCTTCACTGAGGATGAAGAACGATTGTGTCCTGTGCAAGGTGTCCTGGTCATAATCTTATGAGCAGGCTGCTGTATCAGCTCTTACCCATCATCACAACATTCTGATTCACTCCGGCCATGTTTGGAAGATCTTGCAGTACGTTTATCACTTCACTTCCAGTAAGATACGCGGCAGTAAGCGAGGCGTGTGTGTGTGTGTGTGGTGAAGGCAGCGCCGGGTGTGTGGTGGTGCCGGTGGATGGCGGCATATATATACACAGGAGCGGCAAGGTCACCTTAGGGCTCCTAAAGGTCCTGAACCTATTCATGAAGTAATGAGCTCTTCTCCCATCCCTCGTTTTTCCCTTCTTCTTGAGTCCCACCGTAAGTCTTCATTAAGTGCAAGCTTTTGTTAGTGTTTCGATATAACTAATTTTATTTTAGTATATCCAGCATCAGAGTTACCATTAGATTTCATATTCATAAGGATTTGTATTATTTTAACACATTCTTAGCCGCTGGTCTGTTTTTCAATGTGTTTTTAGCAGTCCTCATGATTAATTTATGAAGATTAAGCCACCACAAGAGGTGGCACGGGCATGAATAGCCCGTACGTGGTAGATGTTTGGTGTGGATGTAATCCCTGGTCGTGTAACATCTTGAAGTGTGTCTGCTGCTGTAATTGTTGTTGTTTTAGATTTAGCTATTTGGAACTAGAATTTCCATGTAGCACGGGCTATGGTGAGCCCGTAAGAACATCGTGCGTTTGGAACTCATTATTAAGATCGGATCAACTACTTTTTTATATAATTTCTGGTGAGGCTAAACTTTTGAAGTGTTGTACTCTTAAAATAAGTGTTAATAAGTGTACTCTTAATAAGTGTTAAGAGCTGTACTCTCCGATGAGTAAGGAGCGCCGATCGACATCTTAATCAACTCTAAACTAAACATCTGAACATCTCTAAACATATGGATATATTTTACCGTGCAGGATTAACCCCTAAAGCAACGTACTTCTTCCTTAATATGCGTTTCTTTAACATCCAGTGGTCATCCCTTCACCTACAGAGACTTTACTGAGTAAATTGTTCTTGTGTTAGATTAAAGATTACCATCTTGGAATCTATTCATATCGCTGTTATGAAGAAAGTGCTGAACAATTCCGAATTATCGTTCCTTTAGTTAGTTGGTTAATTCGTCTTTTGCAAGCAGCTTGTTATGATGTTTTTTTTAATTATGTATTAATAATATTTGAATTATTTTAATTTGTTAAAATCTGTGAAATTTTATTACCAGCTACTATTTTTTTTTCTGATAACTTTTTTTTTTCCATTCACCTGGGCTGTATGGGTCTCGAACCCTGGACCCCACGCTTGTGAGGCCGAAGATCTTAATATGATTTGAAAAACTAATGACGAAGATTATCTTCTAAACATTTGGCTGACAATAAATTATCATTTATACAGTTGTAATGTTACTGGTTAGAGCTGATTGCTTTATCTGAGGTTTGAATAATTTTGTCGCAGTTGTTTACGTGCAGCATTCACTGTCAGGCTTAGATGGTCTTCAGCGATGTTAATCATTACATAAATGTTTTATTTTAGTTTGAGCTCTCAATACCGTAAAGAAATTGTAAGATTTCTCTGTTTTCGATTGATTTGTGCGTTCCTCTTGTTCTCAGCATGACGGAGACATTTGTACGTTCCTCTTGTTCTCAGCATGACGGAGACATTTGTACGTTCCTCTTGTTCTCAGCATGGCGGAAACATTTAATATATCTGCAAATGTTATTTGTTAATAGTGCTTTATACGGAGCCCAGAAGACATATGTTGTTATAAGTAACGTGAATTGTATAGAAATAAAATCTTTATTATTAAAACATATTATTAAATCACTATGTAACAAGGAACATTTTGGAATTGTCCTTTCTTAAATTTAATTCAACTTCATATGTTAATAAAATGTTTATTTTCAAAGGTATAAAAGAAGTCCAACGCTGTATGACAGTCTTTGAGTCACCACACAGGACAGCTTCAGGACCAGCAATAAAGCACTGTACATAGCTTGGGGTCAGCTTAGGAGTCAAATGATCGTCTATGAGATTAAATCCTAACCCAAAAAAGTGCATGAAAATCTTGTGTTGCGAAGGCATATTATAGAATTCCTTTTGAAAGTAGTGTTACAAATAATTAAAACAATATATGAGAACTATACAATAAGATACATATACAAGTAGTTATGTTTTGTTATCTTCAAGGTTTTGATAACATTTCCTGGAGCATCAGGATGGTAACTGTGGCTTGTAAACTAAAATCCACAACATTCTCGGCAATAACATTCGTGTTCTCTTGGGCGACAACATCTTAACATGAGAGTAGAGGAAAGGATTATCACTCTAAGTCGTCTTGGTGTTCCAGGGAAGGTTTAAATCTCGGTCTGAGTAGCAGTTACATACTTTAAAGTCATCCCTAATGCGAGTATCTTGGCCTGGTTGATAGAGCTTCATTTTTTTTTACAGTTGAAATCCTCAATAATCCGAGTTAAATTTTATTTCCCACGTTATTGTTAATCACTGAATTACTCTGTAATATATGTATTAGTATGTGTCTTAACACTCGCATAACTATTGATATACATTAAGCTTTTGTCTACACTTTAGACGTTGTTCATGTACTTAAGATGTAGTCTGTATGTTCCTTCTGTCTTACCTCTAGTGCGTTTTGATTAGAAATAGGTTATTATGTGTTCTTTCTTTCCTAACAAATCTATATCTCAAGTCGTTCCAGAAGTTGTGCGTATATTTCTCAAAAAAAGATGGTTTCTGAACCTTCCTGACCAATGTGATATTGATGAGTGATCATCCTGTGCCAGAAGCTCCTTTGGAAAGTCGTAAGTCTAGCAACAACGCCTCCATAAGATCCTGATTGTTTTCTTGGCCTCCAAAAATCTAGCAGGACTGAATGTATCAGATGTTACTCAGGTGAAAGTGTTGTCTATTATTAAAGCACAAGTGTAGTCTATCATCATCTGATTATCACTCTTCAAGAGTAGCATTGTCACCCAATATTGTCAGTACTGCAACAAAGGCATTAAATATTGATAACTTAATGTATGGCATTCTTTAAATAGGATATTGCGGTTGATATTATTTTATTTCATGTTTCTTGTTAATACACTCAGGTGAGTTCATGGTATCAATTGCCCTACCTGTCATCGCCTTGAAAATTGTTTTCGTTATTTTCCATTCATTAATTTCTTTAGTCATTTGACAAGGTTTTCACTCTTTTCATGAATTAAGGTTCTTAGCTCTCGACAGTACTTATAAGTAAACTTTTCCTTACATTTGTGTGATATGTTATTATATGGTATATTCGGTGATACCCGGGTCTTTCTCCCCTTCACTTCCCTTCCCTCTGTTACCTTCTCCCACCCCGACTTCCTCCTTCTCACTCCTCTCCCTCTTCCCGTTATCTCACCCCCTCTAACTCTTTTCATTTTCCCTCCCTCCCTGCACTCTACTCTTCTTACTCTCTCTCCTCCCATTCGCTGACTGTCATTCTCTCCAGCTCTTCCCCCTTTTCATCTCTCTTTCGCCCTCCCCTCATTCCTCATCTCCTGTCTTCTTCCCTCTCCTCTTCTTTCCCATATCTCTCTTAGAAAATGCATCAGCTGAAAAACTGTCAAAAAACCATTTTGCAAAATGAAACTACAATTTGCTGGGAGTCACAACAGGAACCACTACATCTTAGGGAGAAACACAGAGGTCGACCGGGACCAGCCTATGACACTCCCCCCCCCCCTTGCAATTCCAAATGATCATGCAAAGTTGCGTGAGACTTCACCAATCCCCCCCAAGTCCCCCAAGCTTTAGGTCCTCCTACCTTGGACACAGAATGACAGACAGACAAACATCAGATTTTTATGAATATAGATACATGTCTAAAATATTACCTTCTTTACAAAAATTTTGTCAGCGTGAAAATACAGTAACTAATGCAAGACGCATCTATTAGTCCGTGTCTTAAAGTTCTTCATAAAAATATTTTACTGCTGTATATTATGCAGCTGCCTTCCTCATACAATTCTTGGTGATTGTTCTGTGTGTGAAAGTGATCACACAGTGAGTCTACACAGTGATACGGTGAGTCTGTAGAATGCAATATGTCTGCAAAGGCACATAAAGACTCCGTAGATATCAGCTCATCTCTACAATACACAGTGACATTGGAAACAAACTAATTTCCTATACAAGTTCATGATGAGTCTGTAGAAATCAGGAAATCTTCAGAAGCACACTGCATATCTCTAGAGAGCAGATCATCTCTATAAGTACACAGTTTGTTATAAGAAATCAACTAGGGTCTGTAATTACAATGTGTTTCACTAGAAACTAGCTCGTTTCAATAAGTACGTCAAATGTCTATAGAAACCAGCAAGTTTCCGTAAAAGCACAGTATGATGTGTCGTTTGAAACCAGTTCATCCTAATGCGTACAAAGTGTGTGTATAAAAAGCAGCTAGTTTCTTTATTTCCCCAGTGAGTTTCCAGTGTTTAGGGAGCCGCCACACTGATATGGTGTGTGCCTGAGGAAACCAGCACGTAGACTTTAGATAATGCAGGTAGAAGATATAACAAATATTGCTCATGTTTAAGTTTATTCGTAGTTCAAGTGTAAAATAAAATAAAAATTCTCATTTCTGTCGTATGGCACCGGAGTAAGACCGCACTCTATAACTTCCTATTAAGGCAAATAATTCAAAATTTGTTAAACTAAGAGGAGAATAATTGGCAAGTATGTACAGCTAGTATTAAGTAACATTAACTTAGTCGATGAATATAAATCTTCTTGGGCAGAGAATTATGTCATCAACATCTGCAAAGGAAGTTTGTGTCTGTTTTGATATGATATATATTATCAAACATCGTGAAGGAAATTGGGTTTTATAACGTATATCAAGAATTACTATGATAACTTATTGACGATAAATATTTGTAACGAAAGCATAAAATTATCATCATAAATCTCGAGCTCATTTGGTAGGTAGTTGATAGAGGGCAGATGGAGGTTGGATATTCCGGTTGCCAGTGCCACCGTTCCTGCCACCGGCACCGCTGTTGAAGCCAAGGTTTCTGTTGCCACCTCTGCCGTTGCCGTTAATGGCCGGTGCTCCGTAAGACTGTGAAGGAGCGCCAACATTTCCGCTTCCCCCAACACCGTTAGAGAACTGTCCCTGTTGGTTGACAACAGACCCAAATCCTCCGCCATTGCCACTGTAGCCCTGTCCCTGTTGGTTGACAACAGACCCGAATCCTCCACCACTGCCACTGTAGCCACTGTTGCCGTTACCGTTTCCACCACTGTAGCTTGATTTTCCTATTTCTGCGTTGAGACCGTAGAACTGCTGGGCGGTGGAACAGTCAAAGTTGTACCACCAGTCACACACGAAGTACTGCTGGTTGAAGATGGTGCCGTTGGGACAGAGGAAAGAGTCCATCCTTCCACCAGCTTGGCAGATGTGGAATACCTGAGGGAGTGATGATAGCGTCTTGATACATGTGAGGTATATCATTCATATCTTTAACAAATATCATACCAGTCATTAAGAAAGCACTATATAACTAAGAGAACATTCAGAGCTTCACCTTCCTTAACTGCTCGCTATATTCAGGAAATATTCTATATTAATAAGACATGATATTCTTATCATGGTTTGATAAGAATATCATGTCTTATTAATATAGAATATTTACTATATATACTGCGACAGTGGTTTGGGCAATCTAAGCCATGTTAACCTCTCACCAGAACAACTCACCTGACATCCGGCCTCTGGGGCCGTGTCAGCATAGTAGCCGGGTAGTTGACCGTCACAGGAAAAGCCGGTATTTGGGACATAGGCCAGAATAGGGTAATCTTTGCCAGGGACACCACCTCCACCAATGGCAGCCGCTAGGTCAGCAATGGGGTCACCGGAGCCTCCACCATATCCTCCGGTGCCACCAAATCCTCCTCTTCCACCTGCACCGCCTCCACCATATCCTCCGCTGCCACCGAATCCTCCACTTCCGCCTGCACCGCTGCCACCACCATGACCTGCACTGCCCCCTCCGAAGCCTCCGTTGCTTCCTCCGGAAAATCCTCCACCGCCGCCAGTGTATCCGCCATTTCCACCTCCCACACTGCCACCGAATCCTCCACTTCCTCCTCCATATTTGCCATTTCCGCCACCGCCGAAACCTCCTTGGCCTCCGCCAGCGAATCCTCCAGGACCTCCACCGTTACCACCACCAAATCCTCCGCTACGAACGGAGGAGATCTGGTTGGACACCGGAGCCGGAGGTCCATCGAGGTAGGTGGCGCTGACCACACCCAGGAGGACTGAACAGCACGGGGAGAGAGCAGCGCCGTCACACCAGATGGGGAAGAAACATCCATATGTGGAAATTAGACCATAATTTGCTGATTAATTGTTATTATAGATTTGTTGAACTGGATATGTCATTGGTATAGTGCTTGAATGTGCTCACTATCAGTTATTAAACTATATTTCTAAAAGAATTTGTAACAGTATACTGTAAATATATTATATATAATTTTCTGGAACGTTTAAGTCATTGTCAGTGTTGTGAGTCTGGAAATATCTTGCAAAGCATTTAATATAATACACATAACTGACACTGTAGGCGAGTCAGTGAATACAATTACAATAATAACTCACAGCGACTCAAGTTAACTACGTGACATGATCAAATACAGTGTAGCAGCATACTTATGGCACAAGTGTCAGGTCGGGACGTGTCGTAGGTCAGGTGGCACAGTACAGTGGTGACGCCACTAGTACACACACTCTGCATCGGCTGTACAAGAGTGTCGTCGTCAAGAGCAGTGTTGAGTCCGAGGTCTTGCGAGAGGTCTGGTCTCTCGGATCTTACCCAGCGCCAGGACTTGGGGCGTTACTCCGGCCATGTTTGGTTTCAAAACTTCGGCTTCGCCACGGCAGTTTCACTTTCAGCAGGGCGGGGGGTGGTGTGTTGTGGTGGAGCGGCAGACGACGCGTGCTTGCTGCTCGGAGTCGACGACAGGTGTGATGTTTCAGAGGTGCGTTCTGAGTTTTTATACGTGAGAGGCAAGGAAAAGGTAGCGAGTCGAGCCATCATGCGGTCGCCTCACTCTTCGGCATGAACGTTATACTCAACACAATGTTCTTGCTAATTATATCACATGGGGAAAAATAATCACATGTCACGAAATTATAAACACAGAAGATTACAAATAAATAAATTGATAAATTTTAAGGGTCAGGTATGTAAATAATTTAATAATAATACAGTTTTTTGGTGACTGTGGCACAGTTCCGTGACATGGAGGTCACTCTGCCAGTTGAGAAGCTCGCGTGACTGTGAGAACACATACTAGTATGCATATTATTCCATCAGGTGATTAAATACTACATCAGTGTACTAATATATCTTCCTTACATAGTTTAGACTGTGTAAACATGTTCCAGATTTAATTAGTGGTTAATTAAATCTTTTTAACTAAGCACTAGTGGTCTTTTTTTTTGTTTTTCAAGTTCTTTGCATGGTCCGTAAACCAGTGTTTAATTCTTGACTCCTATTTCGTGTATTTTGTACTGTATTTGCTGTCTTCTAGGTGCTATGTATTACAATCAATATTTAAAGTACTCTTAGGGCCCCGGGTAGTTTCTTTATGTCTCCTAATTGCACTCACCAAATTGTGCTTGCAGGTGTTGAGGTTCGGCTCTTTAGTCCCGCCTCTCAACAGTCAACTGGCGAACAAGTTCCAGAGGCTATTAAGCTTTATCATATCTGCATTCGAAACGGTGTATGGTGTCTGTCGCCACCACATCACTTCCTAGTGTATTCCAATTGCTAACTACTCTGACACTGAACTAATTCTTTCCAGTTTTCTTGTGGCTTATTTTGTCCCCTTGTGCGAGTACTACTCGTACTAAATAGCCATTCTGTATCTACACTTTCAGTTTCCAGAGAATTTTGTATGTGATAATCATATCTTCACTATTGTTTCGCCTTCCTGCGACAAAAGGTTAAATTTCTGAAGCCTGTCCCCGTAACTCATACAACTCATTTCATAGACTAGTCTCGTGGGAAACCTTTGAATTTTATTTAAATTTGCCACACTCTTGACTTGATACGGACGCCACGCTGGGACTGTATGCTTAAGAATTAGCCTGACTTATGTGATATTCGAGGTTCTAAATAATTCCATACAAAAATTTCTAAATTAAACTCTTATGTTGACCAACCTAGCATTTGCCGCTAATATACCATTGATGTGGGCTTTAGAAGAAAAGATAGGTGTGATATCAGCGCCCCAGACCGTTCTCTCTAATCAATTCTTGGAGGATTTCATCTTCCACTTAAAGTCTATGTCCGGCCCCCTGCTCCCAACAACTTGTTCTGTTACTCTATTTAATTAAATTGAAACAATAATAGCCATTTGTTGGATTCTTTCAGTCTGTCCAGGTCCTCCTGTAGCCTCTTTCTATCTTCCTTTGTCTTAATTCTCCTCATATTTTTTTGCATCATCTGCAAACATTGAGAGGAATGAGTCTATTGCCTCTGGAAGATCGTTTACATGTATGAGAAACAAGACAGGTTCTAGTACTGAGCCCTGTGGGACGTTGCTGGTATCATCTCGCCACTCTGAGGTTCGTATCGTTCACAGAAACTCTTTGTCTTCTGTTGCTTCGGTGCTTCATTATTCACTGAAACGCCTTCTCTGTTAGTCCTGCCTACTTTTCGAACTTATATAGCCTCTGTTTTAAAATACATTGTCAAGGACTTTTGACAATCCAAAAATATTCAGGTCGCCCACTGTTCACTGTCTTGTATAGTGTATCCTGCTTGGTTATAGAATTATATTCAACCTGTGAGGCAAGATTTACCATCCTTGAACCCATGCTTGTGGTGTGGTACATAGCCCTTCTCTCCTGATATGATACTTGCCTTTTTTCGCAATCTTCTTCATCACATTGGATGGTATAATAATTAGGGAAGCTGGCTTGTAGTTAAGTGCCGGTTATCTGCCCCCCAGTCTTTTATGTTGTTTTCTAACTTTCTGGTAACTTTCCTGTTTCCAGTGACCTCTTATACACCGTACAATTTGGTAAGAATAGTGCTTCTGCTGCCTCTTTTACAATCCACCGACAGATTCTGTCTCACGTTCAGTTCCAGCTGATAGATCTCCTCATCACTAATATTTCAAATTTCCCTTTTAATGTTTAGTTTATTGCCTCGGCTCTCAGTCCAGGCACCTCCTCTTCCTCTAGTGTGAAGACCTCTTTTATTCTCTTAACGAGGATCTCCGCCCCTTTTCTCAGTTTCATCACCTGTTGCGTCATTCGTGTTTTCCTCCTGATGTGCCTGTGGAGCAGTTAGTGTTGTGCCTTTGCTTTATTTGCTATGTCGTTTTCATACTGTCTCTCTCTGGTTCTCTTCTCACTCTGAGGTACTCATTCTTGGCCCTCTGTTGTCTTCTTTTGCTCTTTGGTGTTCTGTTATCCTTGCAGTTTCTTCACGCCCTTGTCGTTGCTTTGCTTTTATATATTATTGATTATATAATGAGCGTGTGTGTGTGTGTGTGTGTTAGTGTGTGTGTGTGTGTGTGTGTGTGTGTGTGTGTGTGTGTGTGTGTGTGTGTGTGTGTGTGTGTGTGTGTGTGTGTGTGTGTGTGTGTGTGTGTGTGTGTGTGTGTGTGTGTGTGTGTGTGTGTGTGTGTGTGTGTGTGTGTGTGTGTGTGTGTGTGTGTGTGTGTATGCGTGTGTGTGTGTGTATGTGGAATTGCACATGTGGCAATGTGTCATATAAGGATGAAGGATGTGTTCCATGACTGAGAGTTGTGTTTATGTGTTGTTCGTGTGCTCTTATGACATACAGGATGTGTCCGGAGCGGCAGGAACCGTCCGAGGGGCCCAACACATACGGACACACAGCGGCGTGGACGGCGCCATCTGCCGCTATGTTTTATGACGCCGGCCGCCACTCTATCCACTTCCCGAAACTAAATGACCCATTCGGAGCCTCAGTATTCAACAGTAAAATACATCACAGCAGTTCTGCGTTCCATGGAGAGCTACAGGTCTTTACAGCACCCTAACACTCTCCACAGCACCCTAACACTCTCCACAGCACCCTAACACTCTCCACAGCACCCTAACACTCTCCACAGCACCCCAGAGCTTTCCACAACATTCTAGTGTGTTACATAGCTTACTAGTACTCTCCTTAGCATCACAGCTCCCTCCAGTCCTCTCTACATCACTTTAGCGCTCACCACAACACCGCCGCGCTCACCACAGCACCAGAGAGCTCCCCACAGCATGCTTATGCTCTTAACAACACACGTATGCTTCCAGCAGCACCCAGCGACTCTCTCTCTGTGCCTTAAGGCAGAATCTGATTCTATAAGCTTGGTAACCTTTATCTTCACAAAGCTGCCCGTACAACTAAATACTTCCCATAAGCTTGAGGTAACTACCTTCAACACCTTGTAGCTGGCGACAGAATCACAAGCTGAGGCTCAAATGTGCTGAAGCCTTAGCTTGTGTTTCTAGAACACATTAAGCTTGTAGGGAATTATAGTGTGCTACTCACCAAATTTTGCAGGAGATGAGTCACAATAACGGGGCTGAAGAATGTTGACCAGACCACACACTAGAAGGTGGAGGGACGACGACGTTTCGGTCCGTCCTGGACCATTCTCAAGTCGATTGAAAATGGTCCAGGACGGACCGAAACGTCGTCGTCCCTTCACCTTCTAGTGTATGGTCTGGTCAACACCAAATTTTACCTAATTCTACTTTTTTTTTTTTGAGATATATACAAGAGTTGTTACATTCTTGTACAGCCACTAGTACGCGTAGCGTTTCGGGCAGGTCCCTGGAATACGATACTCTGCCGCGAAGAATCGTTCCGAATCGAATCGAAGAATCGAATACTTGTGGTGATTCAGCTTCGATTCTTTGCTCGCACCTCTCAACTGTCAGTTTATTTATGTACAGCATTCTGAACCTGTTGGGATTCATCAAATCTATATTTGAAAATATCTATAAAGTCCAGCACTCCCACCTCACTTCTTACAACACATAAATTTTGTTCGAGTTTTCCCTTGTTCAAAATAGTTTGTCCTTAGCTATCCTATCAGTTACCCAGGGAATTTTGTATGTGGTAATCATGTCTCTCCTAACTCTTCTGTCTACCAGTGATGTGACTTCAGTTCCTGCAGCCGTTTCTCGTAGCTCATACCTATAAGGTGTAGGAAAAGTCTGGTGGCATATCTTGGGACCTTCCCTAACACTGTCCTGTGGTAGACTGGTCACGAAATGCACCTTTACACCCAAGGATTGGTCTGACAAATTTCTTGAGGCATTTACAAGTTTAGCCAACCTAGCATATACCGCAGAAGATCTTTTCATTTTTGTTCATGTGTTGTAAGAAGCTTTAGCGTGTTGCTGGAAGCTTTATAGTGTGTTGTAGGGAAATGTGTTGTGCTACCGGAAGCCTTAGGGCGGTGTGGGTATCTGCAATGTGCTATCGGCAGCCTTAGAATGTTTTATTTATCTGTAATGTGCTATTGGAAGCCTTAGAATGTTTTAGTTATCTGTAATGTGCTATTGGAAGCCTTAGAATGTTTTAGTTATCTGTAATGTGCTATTGGAAGCCTTAGAATGTTTTAGTTATCTGTAATGTGCTATTGGAAGCCTTAGAATGTTTTAGTTATCTGTAATGTGCTATTAGAAACCTTAGAATGTTTTAGTTAAATTAAATGTGCTATCGGCAGCCTTAGAATGTTTTAGTTATCTGTAATGTGCTATTGGAAGCCTTAGAATGTTTTAGTTATCTGTAATGTGCTATTAGAAGCCTTAGAATGTTTTATTTATCTGTAATGTGCTATTAGAAACCTTAGAATGTTTTAGTTATCTGTAATGTGCTATTAGAAGCCTTAGAATGTTTTAGTTATCTGTAATGTGCTATTAGAAACCTTAGAATGCTTTAGTTATCTGTAATGTGCTATTAGAAGCCTTAGA